CAGCTGAAGTTTTTTTTTTTTTTTTTTTTTTTTTTTTTTTTGCCTAATACAGGATATGGAATTCCTTTTCAGATATGGAATTCCTTTTCAGGTTTTTTGGTCAGTAATAGTTTTTCTAGGATGGTTTTTTTTTTTTTTTTTTTGGGAGAAGGGCGAGGCATGTGGGAGTCCTTTCCAAAATTTCACACATGCAAGGTACATACAAGTGTGTGAACTCTTTTAGCTTTTTTGTTAATTTGCATGCCAGGTATTGACATTTTATCAGAATGACCTGAAATTGAAATTGAGAACTAATTGAAAATTAGAACTAATTGAAATTGAGAACTAATGCATTTTAATGCTTACTTTAGTGTCATAGAGTCATTTAGGCTGGAAAAGACACTTCAGATCGAGTCTAACCATTAATAAGCACTGCCTAGTCCACCACTAAACCATATCCCTCAGTACAACATTTGCAAGTCTTTTAATGCCTCCAGGGATGGTGACTCCACCACTTCCCTTGATAGCATGCTCCAGTGCTTGACAAACCTTTTGGTGAAGGAATTTTTCCTAATATCCAATCTAAATCTCTCCTGACAAAACATGGTGACATTTTCTCTCATTCTGTCCCTTGTTAAAAATCAAGAGATCAATGCCTGGGAGAAGAAACCAACCCCCACCTCATTACAGTCTCCTTTCAGGTAGCTGTAGAGAGCAATATGGTGTCCTCTGAGCCTCCTTTTCCTCCAGGCTTTAATCACTTTCCTTTCAGAAAGGTAGCAAAATTTGACATTTTAATCTCCCTGAAAGTGATATGTAATTTAAAGTTAGCTTCAGAACATTGATCCAGGAGTTTGCATATGTAGTTTACCCAGAACAAAGTGACCAAAAGCAACTAAATATCCTCATGTCTTTGTAATTCTTGTGTAAGGAGGTAATTTTAGCAGTTGCTAAAAGAAAAAGCAAATTCATTGCAAAGCATGGAATATGGAATATCGTAGCACCTTTATTTTGGTTCAGTATTCTTGAAGAAATGGAGCACGATGCAGTATTATTGACTTCTACAGGAATATTAGTAGGCCAGATTCTGCTGTCAGTCACACCTAATCAGCCATTCGCTATGTATAACAGATGACAGAGCCTGAGCTTTTTATTCTACCAGAAATGGAGGCTGGACACCATGGACTTCTTGGTCACCTTGTAGCACCACTTGTGGAATAGGCTTTCAAGTTCGTCAGCGTTCCTGCAGCAATCCAACCCCTCGACATGGAGGACGCGTCTGTGTGGGACAGAATCGTGAGGAGAGGTGAGTTATCTTTTTTCCATGGTCTGTTTTAATTTCTTCTGTGCTGTTGTATTCCACAGGACATTTTCTCCTTTATTTGCCTTGGTTTTCCCTTCCCTTTCCTTTCACTCTCTTTAACTTCACTGCTGTACAGTACAGTATTCCCATTAACAAGGCTGTGGGTCTGCAGCAGATCTTTCATCTTTTGCTTAGCTTCATCCCTCCTGAGCCACCTGAGAGTTCCTGGTAGTGCCAGACAATTGGGCTGAGGCAACATTCTGCTGTCCCTTGAAACTCTGAAAATTGATTCTCCTTGAAAATTGATTGCACTGTGTTTGAATTGTAACTTATTCCTCAAGACCTGGAATTCAGAACAAAATATAATAAGGTCACAGCACTGTGTTACTGATGCTGTGAGTTTATTTTTTCTGTTGTAAATAAATTAAGCATTCCTATAACATAGAGGGAGGTTTCAAGGTCTTTGTTTTCTATTCAATAAATATTATGTGCCTTAAACTCAAATGTCTTTAGTAAGGTTTCAGGCTTGGTGGATTTTTTTAAATTGTTTGTATATATTTTTTAACCCCTGAGCAGATCAAGTTAGCTCACATTTTGATTTCACCATGTACTGTTTTGGCACCAGACTAAGTATTTTGTCACTAGCTCAGAATGTCAAGTTCAGGCCCTTCATTCTATTTTATGTGCACCCTCATTACATCTCTGATTTATGTGGATCCTACATGCATCTCTAATTTTTGTGTTTGCAATTTTATCAGGACTTAAATATTTCTTTAAATCAAGCTAGAATATATTCAGATAAACTGCAACTCTTCCATGCATTGTGTTGTTTCCAGAGGCATACCAGAAAGCTAGATAGCAGAAGACTAGCATTGGTGTGAAAATTTGGAGTCCTGTAGCCATCCATTCCAAGAGATGTATGCGGATATGTTTCCTTCCAATATGCACTTACAGCTTACTTCAGTGTTTCTTTATGGATGATGTAGTATCCTATATGGCTGTTGGATGTAAACTAAAGTTCAGTAACCTTTATGAAGAGTTTCAGTGAGGCGTTTAATTAAACACCAACTCTAGCATTTCTTCAGATTAGGGGATTCATTGAAGCAAGGTTGCATCACACATTTACGTATTAATGGATCACCAGGGACCTGGTCTTTCTAACTCTTAAATGTAAAGGATCAGTATCACATAATGTGTGAACATTTCTTGCTGTTTCAAGGCCATGAATATTTACCATTTCATTCTAGAGAAGCGGATTTTGTTCTTTTGTAAATTGCTTTCTGAAAATGGGTTTCCCAACCAGAAAGCCATCACCATCAAACATAGATTGTATCTGCTGTTATTTAGCTCTGTTCCAGCATGAATAACATTTATTGATTTTCCTGAACTGAGAGGTCAGTCCAGGGCAGGACACAATGAGACAAAACAGAAAAAAAATAGTTCAGTTTGGAGAGACTTTGGGATGATGGACTATAGATGGTAATAGAAATTGTTCATTTTATTTTAACATGGAATAAAAGTTTGATAACATGTTTCACAGAAATAAAGAAAACCATGAGAAATACTTTCTTAATTATATGAGCATAAAGACAATGGGTGCACTGTAAAAGCAGTTACAAACTGGAAAGTGACTTATGATGAGTTGACATAAGAGCAGTCCAGAAGGATTGAATTTTGGTATGCAACAGTTCTGAAGGAACAATAAGTGTATGTTGCTTTGCTTTTGTAGCCTGCAGCTTATTTGTCCTTTCTATCTCCGTCCAGTTCAGCAGCAACCTGGGATGAATGTGCCTGTGAGTTTACTGCAGGATGCCTTTTTCTCTCAGAGTTCTTCTGTCACTGTTTCCTGTCTCTTTGAAAGACCCTTCACTTCCAATAGCCCTGCACCTTTCTCACTCATAGCTTGCTCACATTTGACCTTCCTGCCTCCTCCTTGACTTTGTATGTTATCCCTGTTATGTCCTGATAATTTTAATTATTAAGTGCCTTTAATTTTTTTCTAGAGGGTGTGGTAAGTTAGGAAATTTTGTCAAATAATTTGTAAAGCAGCTAGAGGAATGAGGAATCAGTTATTTGCCAGGGTTTTTGTCAGTGCTAAGCCAAGTACTTGGATAAATCTTTTCAGAGCTGTAAAAAGCAGAAGGTCCTGGGATATTTGCCAGCCAGGGTCCATCCCATCACCCACAGGAGGGGAGCAGGGCAAGCCTGGAGATTGTGACCAGACCCAACCAAGAGTCTAGATCCTAGTGACATCATGACAATGAGAGAAATCTGAAGTCCAGGTAGGAAGCTAAACCACAAGTCAGGGTTAGGCTCAAGTTAAATAGAGCTCCTTGCCCCATTGGTGTGGGTGGAGGAGCCGGGGGAAGCTGGCTGGGGCCATTAGGGTTTTATGAGTGTCCTCGTGGCTCTGCCAGCTTGTGGAGAGTTTTGAGCTGTGAGGGTGAGGGCAATGGAGTACCGGCATTTACAGTAGTAATATTTCACTGTTTCACTCTCACTGAGTTACATCAGCACCAAATGGAAGCAATTCCTTTGAGCCCATAACATTTAGGCAGGCGGAACAAACATTACATGTGCAGTAACTCCTGAGAAATATTTACTATTTTTGATTCCAAAGTGCCAAGAAGCAACTTCCCAGATTTTCTTATTTAAATCAACCGATGTTTATAAAGAGCCTAACAGTTTACTTTTTTGATGACCCAGCTCATATGTAAAATGAAAATATATTTTGTATCAGTAAAAATTTGAATTAGTTTGTTTACGTATTGAGTGCATTTGTCTTTGTAAATGTGTGTACTCTAATCACCTTCACATGTTCAGGGGTATAAATATAGCATTCAGTTTCCACAGCCAGCTGTGTGCCAAACTTTGAAACAGCTTTTCAACAAACAGTGATTTCAGTAGAAATCCAGTACATAACTCCGTAGAAAGCAAACACAAAAAAGGCAGCATATATCTGAGGTAAATTTGCTTTCAGATGTGGATCCATATTCAGCTTGAGAGTATTTGTTCATGTGTTAAGAGCTAAATGTTTGTCTAGGATATATTTGTTTTACCTCATGAAATCCATGATCCTATCATGGCTAATGCATCAGGCAGCTCTGTGCTCACTGGCCATTCCCTTGAAATCAATGGCAATATTTGCCAATTTAAAACATTGAAGATATGTTAAACTGTTTCATGCTCTGCTGCTGAAGGGGTGCATGGGAAGGTGGGGTAAAAAGAGCAGCAAATACTTGTATTACAAAGCAAATTCCCCTTGTAAAAGTAGGTCAAAAGTGCAGCTGATGTGCATGTAGACAGAATATGGAGAGGGAGTAAAAATAGCATTGTAACAAAATTTGCTTATAAAAGAATAATTTTGTAGTTAAGACTCCAGATGGAAGACATCTTGATCAATTCCTTAGGGGCTTAATTTTTCTGATTTTTCCTCTATAAGAAATATTCACTGAAGCTGCTGGAAATTCTCTAGATCTTAGTTTACAGTCTGTAGTATCCTGTCTTGACATTATCATGGGGTGAGAATGTTTGTCCTTTCTGTGGGAGATGCTGGAGATATGGCCTCATTAAGTCCACTGGTCCCCCTCCTATCTGTCCAGAAATGAGGGACATTAAAATGCGAATCCCTTGTTTTCAGTGGATGAGTTATCTTTTATAGATAAAGAATAGAAAAACAACATGGCAATTAGAAAAGTAAATTGGCTGCAGGCTAATTTAGACCAAGGAGTAAATGTTTGAAGCCCTGGATATTTTGGCGTGTATAAAACAATTAGAAGCAGGACATATTGTTGCATTATTTTGTACATGGTTTTCAGCAAACATTCAGCTTTTGGGCTTGTTTCCATGAGAAAGAGGAGCTGCTGAGAGTCAAGTGCCTGTTCTGTGTAGCACTGCTTGTTTCTGAGCAGTGTGAACAAGCCCAGTCCACTTCAGCAGAGCAGCCTAAACACCACAAGGCTTTAGGCTTGTTGACTCCCATGGATGTCTTGTCTTCTGGGAAGTGTCTGTTCCCACCCTCCTTGCTTTCTCTGCTCCCTCTCTTCCACAGAAGGCCCTGGGACGATATGGCACATTCCACTGTCTCTTGGATGGGTATTTCTGCCAGCGTAACAATCTCAGTCCAATAGGGCATGTGCATGTCATGTGCCTGCCTTCAGTTAAAGGAATCTGGCATTCCTGTGAGCCTTGGTACAGTCTGTGCATCCCAGTAAATCACCAGCTGGTAATCACAACTATCCACCACAGAAAAGTACATTGCACAGGGATAAAGCTTAGTTTGTTTTTGTTAAACACATGGTAGTATAACATAGTTCAAAATTCAAAATATTTGTTTAAATAACATCTCTCTGTGGAATAAAAAGGACGTACTTGTAACTGTCATGTAGTTAGCCCACAATACTCAGTGCTGGATAGCAGCACTGAAATAAATTGAATAAACTGATGTCTTACTAAAGGTTGAGATCTTTATAGAAACAAAAATAGTAAAGCTAGTTGCAATTAAATTGTAGTTGTAAAATTTGCTGTAGGCACTAATAGCTGTGGACACAACTGGACAAAGGATGTTCACCCTTCCCCCAGTATGAAAATTCCTTTATTAGGGTATTTGAACTTGGGCTCACTTCAAGGGAAATGTGAAGAGTTACTGTACAAAACCCACATTTCTCTAGGCTGTTCTCCATCCTGACCTCCCTGCAGTTAGGTTAGGGGAGAGGGCAGTGGTTTCACAGATTCAAGTTTCTTGCATTGCATGTTTTGTTGAATTACTGTAAAACGTTAGCCCTGTGGGTCCTGAGAACAAAATTAGGAGGGGAAGAAAGAGCAAAAGGGAAAAAGGGTTGCTGAGTGACTTGAAATGCAGCCAAGAACAGATATAATGAAACTTGGCTCAAAGCCCCATGCTGTAGCACAGTTCTCAAAGATCAATTGCAGGGATGTCTCTAGCTGTGAAAACATACCTGATGTTTTCAGAGGCTGGCTGGCAGAAATGAAAATAAGATTCTACTTGTATGCTGCGTTGATTTTTGGTTTGTTCTCTGTTTTTTTGGGGTTTTTTGGGGTTTTTTTTTTGTTGTTTTTTTTTTTTTGTTTTGTTTACCTGAAAAAAAAGGAAAAATTGGCAGTGTTGACTATTAAAAAAACCCCAAAAAACCGACAAAACTGTTTCCTAAATTGAAGTAGTTTGCATAGAGATTTTAGGGCTTTATTTCAGCCTCATCTTTAATTGGTGTTGGATAACAGAATTGCCAGACCTTTGAAGTGCTTACTGTGAAGGGTCACTGTTATTGGGTTTCTTTTCTGTCTCCTGCTGAAGTGGGAGAGCGGGAGGTCAGCCACATAGACACTAAAAGAGCCACTCTATAGTGGCATGACTGTCCTCGAAGTGAGATCTGTCATACCTAACTTCAGGGGTTCACGAGTGTGAATGTTTATTTGTGAGTCAGGTGTCTGAACTTCCACTGTGGTTTGTAGAAATTTAGTCAATACAGGATGTGGAGAACAGTAATTTGTGTTCTTCTGCTCTATATTCCTTAACTTCTTCAAATCAATCATTCTAGTCTCCCTAGTTTGTATTGACAAGATTTCCATTGCCTTTAACAGCCGTTTAGATGTCTCCCCTGTAGCAGTTATAGTCCAAGAAAAGCAATCTGTACATTGAGGGGTGTATTTAAATGACCTTTGCTTTAGGGTGACATAAATTGTATTTTTAACTGGGCTGTTTCTTTCCATGAGCTGTTGCTCAATTTAGTTGACCACTTCATTTTTAGATAGCTAAACTGTACATGCCTTTATTTTAAGGCAAGACAAGTTCCTTAATTTTACTTCTGCATGGCTGAATATAGGTAATTCTCAACTTCATGGCAGATTTGCTTCAGCTTCAGTGTGTCTCCCAAATTAACTTAACACATCTTCATTAAGAACTGAAATTATGCAAAGTTTGTACTAATTTGACTGAATAAATGCTGATGTTGCATCTATATTTTATTGACCATACGTTCTCAACAAATTATCTGGATGAAACTATCAAACACATTCACATAAATGACTGCATGTGACAAAGAATGCGTGCAGTTGGAGTTCTAGGGGAAGAATATTCAGGCATAGAACATTCCTCTGTATCTTTAATATGTGAACTGTAATGTGTTTACCCAAATCACGCACTGAAGAATTCTGACACCAGATTCATAAATATTGAGTGTTTGGGCATTTTTTCCTCAGTTTCCAGAGGAAAGGTCAATACAAGCTGTGAATAATTTTCTTAACTCTACAGAAGCAGAAAACTAAATGTCACTCCCCTATTAACCTCCCTCCCAGTCTTTAGATTTTGATGGAGTTGCCCAGACCTAGGGACAAAGTTTGAATCTTAGGCTCCAGCATATGCAATAAATCTACTTTAGTATGTTACTTACACCACCAACATTATTTTTTTACCCTCCACAGAGTTCCAAATGTTCAAATTCCTTATAATGAAGGATAATGAAGAATTAGAGCTTGCTGATATTGGGGCTTTCTGAATACAAGCAAAAACCTGTTGTGGTTGTTCTTGTTGAAAATGACAACTGTTCATACTGTCATTTCTCTTTTTGTAGAAAATTAATAACTGGAGTATTAGAGTCAGTTTTCACTGTAGAAGAGTGCCAAGATATGAAAACTTGTTAGAAGGGCAAGAAGACATTGGATTTTGGATGAATTGTGTAAAAACTGAGGAGTACTGTGTCAGATTGATTTGTTCATTCAGGACAGTCAGTATTGTAACAAGAGCCACCCAGATGCATCCATAAAATATCAGAGAATTTCTTTAGTGTTGTCTGTTTGCTGACTGTGTTGTGTGTTTGCTTTATCTAAGTAAGAGCTTGGTCTCTTAGAGAACCCTAGTCACACTAGCTTATGGCCCAAATCCTTTGGACCTGTGTAGAGCTTCCTTAAAAAGCAGCATATGCTATGGCTAGAATTATTGGATGGCACACTCAAAAAATCAGGAATCTAAGGCTTCTACAAAAATTGGAAAAACTCAGCTGAAGCTGGGACCTTCCCACATTCCTTCTGAATGTATTGTAACAAAAATGACAACTCAATAGTGCTTCCCTCAGGAACCTACTATGCCTCTGAATCAGTTTGCAGCCTACAGGAGAATCTTTCAAAGATAGTAATAGCTAAAAACACCCTTTAAAAGTTAAAGCAACAACATTATAAGCAAGTGCAGTTCTTTATGCCTAGAATCAATTTTTATCTTTTATGTTGTCTATAGAAGCAGAAATGCTATGAAGAGCAAAACGCAAGTGTAGCTATCTGAAGATGAGAGAGATAGATCCTAATCAATTCTTAGCTGAAGACTGATAAGAGACTGCCTGCATGAATGTTTGCCTTCTGTTTGGTTGACTGCCACAGAGGCATAGCCACATCTGGTTTTAATAAAGTAGTTTGCAATCTTGCTTATGTGACCACAGTACAATTGCGTGGCTGCATCGCATGGAATGTTTAAAGTCACTGCATAAAGCAAACAAATGCTCCACCCACACAACTGCAACCTAAAAACACCCCGCTCAAATGTTTAGACACTCTGTGCAGTGTTACAACTGTTAGTGAGGTGCTTTATGAGTAGGGAGAGGCCCTTTGTATAACATATTTCCCTGTACAAATATCTATCTAAATTATGCAAATGAGGGAGGTTTTGGGGGAGGTCATGCCTTGATAATAAATAGATTCTTTACCTCCTTATTTCTCTTCTCACAGGTACTGCAATGAGCACTTGTTGTGCCCCCCTCATGTGTTTTGGACAGGCTGGGGGCCATGGGAGCGCTGCACGGCTCAGTGTGGAGGAGGGATCCAGGCACGGCGCAGGACGTGCGAAAATGGTCCTGACTGTCCTGGCTGCAGCGTGGTAAGCAATTTTCAGCTTTCTCTTCATCAAATATCTATGGCCATGTGCCATATGCCACAGATGTCTCTATGTCATGGAATCATAAAGTCATTTAAGACCTCTAAGGTTATCAGGGCCAACCATTAACACAGCTGCGACAACTCCTCCATTGAACTGTGTTCCTTGGTGCCTCATCTATGTGTGTTTGAATGTCTGCAGGGATGGTGCCTCTGACACTTCTCTGTGCAGTCTGTTCCAGTGCCTGATAACCCTTTCAGTGCAGAAATTTTTCCTGATATCCAGTCTAAACCTCCTCTGGCAAAACTTGAAGCTATTTCCACCTGTCCTAACACTCTATGCCCATAAAGCATCTATGTATGTCTATAAGCTCTACCCCTAACATGAGTAGTCACCAGGCTGTTTTTGTCTCTGTGTTGCTTGTGTGTGCTGAAATCCACACAATTTATCAATCAGAAATATATATAGTTTTGCTTTTTCACAGTATCATCTAGAATTTAAGCTTCTTGAGGCGAGGCTGGTGCAGATGTAGATGTTGTTGCAGGTTTATAGTGGGTTTTTTGTTTTTATCATCAGAGTGCATAGGAACCCTAGCTATGAGCCCAGGACTCCAGTGTACCATGTTCTGTACAGCAGAGAAAAAGCTAATTTCCACATCTAAATACATAAGGAGCCAATCAGTGAATGCATAGAAGCACCAGGAAAGTGCTGAGGTGAGATTGGATAGCAGTGATCTTGGCACAGCAGCAGTCTAGCAGCTGGCAGGCTTTGAATTTACAGTGGGATGATTGAATGAGTAGAAGTGTTTTATTGATACCCAGTTTATCAAGAGAAACATGTGGGAAAACATGTCGGCGATTTTTCATATATCTGAACAAATAGAGATGTGTAGGTAAAGAGGTAGAAGAAATTTTTCTTTTCTTTTTACTATTAAGCCAATTTTTACATGTCTTAATTTCAGAGAGGCCTAATTCTGAGGTTTGTGATAATCAGTGGTCTGTTTGTTAGACTGACAGTAATTCAGTACTAAAGAAAGGATAATTTATTACCTTTTTCCAATTTGAAGGTTTTGTGCATTTTCCCAGGATCTGTTCTCTTTTTAAAATCCATTCTGATGATAGAATTGCATTTTGAGTAGATTAAAAACAACCAAGAGGCTTGTTCTTTTATTTCTGTCAAACTTTAAGGATTAACCCAATAACTTAGAATTCTATCAAGTTTTCCAAAACATTTGTCTCTTCTGATGGTACACCAAAAAAGCAGACATATGGTCTAGATCTAGTGTTAAACCTTCCTGACTCACACTGAAAAGAGCACAATATGAAGGTTTTTCTCCCTCACTTGTTCCTATTTATCCTATAGTAATATTTGTGAAATATAGTGGAATTTTATTCTGCAGAGAATCTTCCCATGGTCTTAAATCAAAAATATGTGGCTCTAATTTGCTTGGAAAGCTCTATGTGGAAAGTAGGAAAACCTTTTGTGTAAAAATTTCGTATTATAACTAATTTCAGATTAATAGTACTGGGGTTTGTAATTTATTAACAGTCTTAGCACATACTCTGCTGCACCACAGAATAGTTACCAGTTCAGCTGTGGAAATGTTCTGGAGATTTTTCATTAATTAGAGAAGTATTGTGCTGATGGTTTCAAGCTTTGGAGTACATAGTTGTCTTGCTAAAATTTGCCACCAATGGAAACCCATCCAGTGTAGAAATCCTCTATAAACCCTGGTGTTCTTGCAAGACAAAGGACTGTGGTATAAAGTCTGTGTTTTGGTTAAGTTTCACTGAATTTGAAGCTTTGAGTTGCTTGTCACTGAATATGAACCTTTGAGAGGCTTTGCAGCCATAGCAGGGCATAGTCACTAAGTGAAGCTGGAGAAAAAGTACTTTATTTCTTCTCAGAGTTTGTTTCAGTAATCTAAGAAAGTTAAATCAGAAATATTTTTATTCCTTCTTTTAGTTGTTGAAGAGTTTAAATATTTATATTAATAAAGTCTTATGAATGAGGAGCAAAAATATGAAACTTATTGGGTGTTCTTCTGCTTTAACCAAATTTTTGGTTTTATTGTAGCAGTTATGTATTTTTCCAAACAGTTACAATTACACATTTTACCACTGTGAATAAAGGACAAGTTAATGTGTCTTCTTACTGCTGTTTCCCATTCTTTAATGATTATAGCAATACTTAGCTTAAGTTGTGCAAAATATTTAGTGAATTTAGTTTCTTTCAAAAAACTTTTATCCTGAATAACTTTGAGTACTTGAGAATGTAAAAAATCTCTGGAAGTGTTGCAGTGAAAGTGGTAGTAATCTATACTATCTACTGTTTGTTTTGTCTGGAGTAAAAGATGTTATGAGCCAAACACTTATCACGTGATTTAAAGGCATAGTTCGGAGTAGACTCAGGGACTTAAAGTGCCTGGTTTTCCCAACCATTAAATGATAGCTTTAAACTACAAAGAGACTCTCCAGGTTTCTGGTTTACCTTCTTCACTGAGGATGAGCTCTGTGAAACCTTCACAACATTTGAGCAGCATGAGTTGCAGCTGAATAGTTCAGTGTCTGTGGCCTGTGGAGAGGAGAAGAAGAAAGGGTAGAGGACTGGAAAACTTATTATTCAAGAAGATAGTAACTATGTAAGGCTTCATTTCTTCTTGAAATGAAATTTTTGATGCATCAGAGGTGTAGGATGGATGAAATGCTGTCTTGTGACCCCTTTCAAATGTACTAGTTCTTTGTTTTTAGAACTTAGTTTTTAGGGAATCATGGGAAAAAACCAACAACAGCAACTGTTTTTATAAGACTTAAGAGTCTTACAGTATGCTTGCTGTCAGTATCAGGGGACCAGATTTAATTTCCTAGGAGAACCTGCCTCTTCTGTTTTCCAATCTGCAACCTGGCTGTGAGACTGCAGTATAGCCAATCCTAATCTATTTTTCTGTCCTTATTTTGCAGCTTTTACCATATTAATGACTATAGTTTGTGTCTACCTAATGATTGATACCACACAATTTTTAATGAACAGTGTTTCTTCCTTTTAGTTTGATTGTATTTCTCCTAAGATGTAATCTCACAGCAAGAAGCTACTGCCTGTGCTTGTCTTTTTGCATGTTTCTCATCACTTGGTTCCTTGACTTTATCTGCCTTATAGCAGATAACAGCCAAGCTGCTTGAATATTTTTTATCAGAACTCAGTAGAATTCCCTACTGTTATTTCCAACTCATTTTGTAAAATAATAATGATAAATCTTTTGATGCATATAAATATTCCACAGAGAGAAAACCGTGATGTTACCTTAAAGATGCATCTGTTACTTAAGTGCACTCAATACATGAAAATGGATGGCCAGAGCCTTAGGATTGAAGGTGTTTTCACTGAATATAGAAAACCATAAATCCATATGATACAGGAGAATTAGACCACAGAGACTCATAAAGGTCAAAAAGACGAAGTTCGAAATCAAAATCTGGAGTCATAAGGACCTGTCAAGTCTTTAAGTTAATCAAAGCTACTAAAGAGTGCTTAAAATTGTCTAATAAGAGATAGAACCATCACAACCAAATTTAAGAGCAGCTAAAATCTGGTAATAGCTTAAGCAGATCACAAAACAGGTATTGATCTCGTGTATGCAGGTGATACAGGCACTAGAGAAGGAACTGTGGAATTCTCTGGACTGTGCTAATGTGACTCAGAGGACAAACATCTTCAGAATTTACAGCGTACTCAGATAAGCTGTATGTTTCCTTCAGAAAATGCTTCTTTTCCCTTGAGAAGCATAATCTTACTTGAATTTGTCTCAGCCCAGTAATAAAAGAATAACTTTTTAAAAGAATTATTAATAGAATGAGGAATTTAGTTTGAGGCTCAAGTTGGGTGACATGCTTTATGTGTATATTTGTCTGTGTTCTCATTTCAGTCATACTAACATATACATTAATCTTAGTTTTTGTACTGGGACACTGGTAAATGGTATATACTTTCCACATACCAGAACAAAGCATGCTGTGTTTTGCTGTGGAATAAAAACAAACAAACAAAAAAACCCCAAACCAAAAAAACACAAAAAACCCCCCAAACACACACAAAAAAGGGAGGAATTTTATCTGTTTCCTAGAAAATAATAGCTATTTTGGGTTTTGGTTTTTTTTTTTTTTTTTTGTCTTGTGATTTTGTTGGTTTTTGGTTTTTATTTTTTGTTTGTTTGTTTGTTTTTTTAATAATTAGTATTATTTTCTCAACATTCTGGAATTGTTCTGAACAAAGCTTTTTTTCATAAAGTGTATTTGTATTCTAGAGTTTTTGTAATGAAAGAGGATGAAAAGAAAAAAAAATCAAGTCAGAATTTTTTTCTTTCATCAATTTCTTAAAGAGAATTTGAGGATGGAATGTTTTCAGAAGTACTTTGTCCATCAGAGAGAGCAGTCTGCCTTTTTTTACTTGCCATCTCACAAAATAAGTTTGAAATTTATAGTCCAGAAAAGTGACCAGAAAAATAAAATTATTATGCTTTTTTTTATTTCTTTTTTTAAGTTTTCATTTGACTTAAGAAAAATAATCTATTACATAACCAGAAAACAATCTCACAAGCATGATGTATAAGAAACTGTACTATTTATATGATGTTTGACTACTTTATGCTCATTTCCTTTTTCAATCCTTTTTTCTTCTGTAATGCAAACTCTATTGGTATTAACTCTTGTTATGTTTTAAAGGTTTAATGAAGTACAACCTGTCTTCTTTTGTGGCTGCACATTCTACTGCAATTTAAAGCAATATCAAGTTACTTAAAGAGGGTAAAACAAAAAAAAACAACAAACAAACAAACAAACAAAACCAACACAATCATAAGAAATCGTTTCAGAAAATGCTTAAATATCTTGATCAATGGTACATATCTGCTTACCTTGGTCAGTAAAGTGAATTACCAGCTGGCATTCATAGTCAAGGTAAATGTGAAATCTAAACTGGTTGAACTGATGTGCATCTATATCCAAATG